CTCCACTCTCCACCCTCCGCCCTCCTCCCTCCTCCCTCCTGCATCACCCCTCCTCCCTCTTCCCTCCTCCCTCCTCCCTCCTGCCCTTTCCCCCCCCTTCCCAAAGGCGCCGCCGAGCCTGGCCGCCGAGACGTCCTCCGGCACGTTCCGGTGGCCCGGCAGCTGCAGGGACCTCTTTGGGTTGACCGAAAAGGGAGTCCAGCGACAAGGGGTTGGTGCAATAGATTTGGTGCAATAGATTTGTGGGGTTGCAGCAAATTTAGGGCGTGCAATACATTCCGGGGCGCAAATGCATTGCTAGATTTTCGCGTGCAATGCATGACTTGCAGTACAATGCAAGAATTACAATTCTCCGGCGCAGAACGTTTGGAAGACAAGTGCCCCAAATCTATTGCACCACCCCCTTTCAGCTGTACCCCCTTTGGGTCACCCAAACCTCTGGAGGGGGGTTCGGCGTTTCGACATCGGGCGGAAGGGGGGGAGGGGGGGGTCTGGCTCTGGACCTGTGCTTGCTGCGGCTGTTGGCAGCAGTGCGTCCCATGGGGGAGGGACTCCACCTGCCTGAAACAGGCGCCAGAAACAGCCAAGATCTACTCCATGGGGAGGGGAGGGGGAGGGGGCGAGGGCCCGCGCCGATCGGCAAAACAATGAACTGAGAAACCGATCACCCTGGGACGCTCATAGACATACTAGTACAATATGTCCTCCTCGGAGGCGCGCGACCGACCCGAAAACATAGCATGACCATTCTTACAGCAGATCGTCTCCCGAGCGGTGTGGCCAGCAAGCGCCCGCCACGACGCACATGCGGCAAGACTCTCGGTGCGTGCGTCGCCCCTGGGGGGGGCGACGCACATAATTATGGTACAGTCGGGGCCCTGAGGAAGGAACCCTTTTCGTTGGGGAGGGGCTCGGTGTTCCTTAAGCGTTTCACAGCTTGCCTCAGGTTGTCCTTCTGTTTTCGATAGCAAATCGAAGGTTAACTTCTGGAAACAAGGGGCCTCGTTCCTTATTTAGGGTTCCTTAGGTCAAGGCCCAGACTGTACAAGAATGTTGGTGTGACGCCGACACCAGGGCGAGGAGATGCCAGGAGGCAAGGGGGGTCTCCCTGGTGGCGTGGCCCCCCCCCCCTCTCGCTCGAGGCGTCCACATGTCCTCCGGCTCGGGGGGGCATCGTGGGCCTCCCCGCCGGAGGTGGCCCCCCTGGTGGTGGTGTCGGTGTCGCCTCTCCTCCCTCCGAGTCAAGGCTGCAGTCGGGCTGCTGAACTGTGAAGCAATACCGAAGGGGCCCAGGGACGCACATACAGCACATACAGTACAAGCATGCCGGGGTGGCGCCGACACCAGGGCGAGGAGATGCGAGGAGGCAAAGGGGGTCTCCCTGGTGGCGTGCCCCCCCCCCCCTCTCGCTCGAGACGTCCCCTGTGCCCTCCGGCCCGGGGGGCATCGTCGGCCTCCTCGCCGGAGGTGGGCCCCCTGGTGGTGGTGTCGGTGTCGCCTCTCCTCCCTCCGAGGGGGGGGGGGCGGGGCAAAAGCTGCAGTCGGGCTGTTGAACTGCGAAGCAATACCGAGGGGGCCCGGGGCGCACAAATCAACAGACTCAGACTCGCTCTCCAGGAGCCCCCATATGTTTCCACATCTCCTGGAGCTTCGCCTTCCCCTCCTCTTCCCATAGTTCCCCACTTGTTCCTGGGAGTTGGGTCTGTGTCTTCCCCCTCTTGACTCTTGAGGTACGTTAGGAGCGAAGCCCCTCGTCTTCCAAGTCGAGCCGTGAGATCCGAAGGAGCGGCCGCAACATCCGAAGGAGCACCGACGGGCTCGCCATCAAAGAAGCAACGGTACGCACGCAAGCCTAAGAAACCACCGAGAACCTTCAGATTATGCACTGGAACTGACTTCAGCGAGCAGACGTTCGATCGGTACTGCTGCAGCGAAACAAAAAAAACGAAAAGAGGCGGGAAGCTGCCCAAGAACTGGATACGCGACGCTGCACGCTGCGAACAGCATATTGTGATGCATCTTCGGGCTTGTCTGTCCCGTCGCATGGCCATCGGCGTCGAATCCGCGTCGAATCTGTGTCGAATCCGCATTAAATCCACATTGGATGCGCGCCGAAGCCCCCCCGAAGAAGCAGAGTAAGTCATCGTGCTACCATGGGGAACACAGGAAAAAACGCCTGGCGATGAACACAACCATTTGCAGTAATGAGTACCGCAGTTGTGGGTAATTATCGTCTTCCGTGGAGCTCCCTCCGGGTCCACGAAACGCTGCACTGGGGCGGGGGAACCGCATGCGGACTGCGCCACTGGGGCCTTCGGTGGAGCTCCCTCTGGGGCCACGAAAAGCTGCACTGGGCGGGGGAACCGCATGCGGACACTGGGACCTTCGGTGGAGCTCCCTCTGTAGCCACGACACGCGTGAGGGCTGTGCCAGAGTGAGGGGGGTGACGAGAGGAGGGAGGAGCGGGAGGAGGAGAAGAGGCGAGGCGAGGAACGCGGAGCACTGTCTCTTCAAACCAGGGCTGAACCTAAACGGTGTTTCTCGTGTTCGTGTTGCTTTCGTTTTCCCTCGCTTGTGTCTCTAATCCGCCCTTGCTGCAGAACGAAGCCGAAACGAAAACGGCCCACAAAATCGCCAAAAAGCACCGTTTAGGTCCAGCCCTGTGCTGTACAGTCGAGGCGTTGACCTAAGGAACCCTAAATAAGCAACGAGGCCCCTTTTTCCCATAAGTTCAACCTCGATTTCCTATGGAAGCCATCAGGAAAACCCGAGGCAAACTTTGAAACAATCAAGGAACACCGAGCCCCTCCCCAGCGAAAAGGGTTCCTTCTTCAAGACCCCCACTGTATCACGGGGGGCGCTGCGCAAGAGAAGCGAGGGGGCTTCCCTGACCGCGGCGGCGCCCCGGCAACGAAAGAGGCCCCCCAGACGCGGAGCCGAGGAACGGCCTGGACACCAAGAGCCCCTCCTGAACCCAGAGCGATCCTGACGTTGCTCCCATCGTACAAAAACGGCGCGAAGGTCGGGACAAAATCGGATCGGGATAACTCGAAATCTCTGAGAATCGGCGGGTTTGGAGGATGTATTGGGCGCCACGGCCGCTCCAGAGCGTTCCGGAACGCTCTGAGAGCGCTCCGGAACGCTCTGGAGCGATTTATCCCGATCCTAGCCCTGTTTTACGCACTTAGGGACCACATTCCAAAAATGCGACGGCCCAACGGGCCAGAGGCGTGCTAGGATCCCCGGGAACTGGTTCACAATATTTCTAGTTCGCGCGCGCGGAGCGGCCCCTGGGGGCCCCCGAACGAAAAGCCCAAGAGGTCCCCAAGAGGCCCCCAAGAGGCCCTAACCAGGGCTCCAGGGCCGGCGGAATGAGCAAAGCGATCAAATAATTTCGAGCAACCAGAAGAATATCGAAACAGTGTCGATCGAATATCGCCTCCCAGGGCCCGGCACGTGAAAACCATCCAATTTCGGTACTATCTTGGTGCACGAGATCCTTTCTGGTGGTCAAAGCTAACGTAGGTTGGAACATCGTAAAGCGATCCTTGCTTCAGCGTCTTGGCTGAACTCCAGAGGCAGACCCAACAAGCATATATAGAGAGAGAAGGCCCTACGTAGGCTTCTTGTGTCGGTGAGTCGACGATGGACCCCCAGACATAATTGCCGTCGCTCGAACGTCCATTCACCGTGCATGTCTCGATGTCGTGCGTGTTTTTAGTTTTGTTGCTCGACGATCCAGGGTGCTCCTCAATGGCCCTCGCCGAGGCAAAATGCACACGTCCGCGCGACGCCAAGACATGCAACGTCCTCACTGTTTCACTACGGGCCCCCCGGGACGTCCCGACCCTTTCCCCCGCACCGTTTTTTTCTCGTGAGTCGTTTTTTTCTGAAGGGGAACTGGGACACACAAATAAATAGACACGAATAACTAGATTCCCAATGGTTTCCCATATTTTCTGGGATTCGGTCTTCCCCCCACTTCCCATATTTTCCAATGTTTTCTGGTGAATCGACGATGGGTTGTGTCTGTGTGTGTTTTCCCCCCTGATCTTCACGGTCCCGCGGCCCAGCGAGGCCCCCCAGAGGCCGAACATCTGAGAAATGATCCCTCGTGAGCTGTGCACGACGCCATCGTGCATGGCTGAACCTCAACGGTGTTTTTCGTTTTCGTGCTGTTTTCGTTTTCCCTCGTTTTGTCGTCAGTCCGCCTATAACGCAAAACGAAATCGAAACGAAAACGGCCACGAAATCGCAAAAACACCGTTTAGGCCCACCCCTGCCGTCATGTATGGGTCCCCTGGCGAGCGAAGCGCGCCGAGCTCTGTCTTCGATGGTTCCTGGACCTCGTCAGGGCGCGGTCTGGACAAGATCCCCGGGCTGGATCCGGCTGGGGCGGCGAGGGCCACCCAGCAAGGGAAAGGCAACGGCATCGGCCTGTGCAGACGCCTCCTCGATGGGGTCCGAGCAAATGGGGTCGGAGGATCGCGCCGCATCGCCGACGCATCACCGATACATAGACGATGCATCGGCGATGCATCGTCGACGTCGGCGATGCGTCGGCGACGTCGGCGTGAAGAAAATTGGGCTGCACATGGAGCCGCATCGCCGATGCATCGACGATGCGCAACGATCATCCGACCCCATCTGCTCCGACAGGGACACACAAGTAAACAAACACGAATCCCAGGATTCCCTGTACTGTTATTCTTTTGTGTTTTGGTCTTCCTGACCACTTCCCGTGTGTTCCATATTTCTGAAATCGTCCACCAGTTCAGTCTCTGCGGTTTTGTTCCCCTCGTGGATGGTTTCTTTCTCTGAGGTCGGGGTCCACCATGGCCAAAATCCATCCAAATCTCTGTTTCCGAACTCCCGTGGTGGTCCGCCCCAGATCGGCGACTCTTGGCCTCAGGGCCCATGCCACAGCCTACAGACTCGTAGTTCTAAGAGCAACAACTGCGCACTTAATGAGGGGACAGAAGTTACTGATCCCGCTACTCTCTGGACCTCTCCTGTGGTGCATTCTGCCCAGAATTACGGGAGGAATCCGCCCGTGACGACGAGAGAGCTCTCCAGCAGGAACAGCGCTATCGGTATCTCTCGGGGTGGACAGAATCACCTTTAGCAAAACACCCCTTGGTGAAAGCTGCTAGGTGAACTCCACGTGCGCACGGCACCGCATCCCGAGTGCGCCCCAGCGGAATAGATAATCGACACCCACAAATACCCAAATGTATCTGGCGAAACGCACGTCGATTAGCAACGCCGAGTACAGACTGCACGGGCACACTCGAATGACAATGTCGAGTGAACTGGTGCTGACTTCCTCAATCGACTTGTCCGGGGGAGGGGGGGCGTGATGTGAATGCCCGATCTCTCTCTCACTCCCTTTATTCTTGGGACAAGGTTTCATAGGAAAGGCTTCAAAAGGTCCTCGGAAGGTGCGAGGACTTCTGAGAAGCCCCGCCGCCTTCTGAGAAGGCCTTCCCCCTCTCACTTTTCGGGGTTGGTCAAGAGGGGGGCGTCCAAGAGGGGGGGTGGGGGGGCGCAAATCATGGCCAGCGGCACGTGCACGGCTCCAGGGGGAGGGGGGGGCCAGGGACGCAATGAAGAAAGGAGAGGCGCCATGAAATTTGAGGAAATATCCTGGCCCACGCCACCATGTCCCCCCCCCATAATAGTATAGAAAAACGACGCGATCAAAACAAAAAAAGTTCGCGGGGGGGGGCGGGTAGGACACGAATCGATCGCGCGCTCGCGGCGACGCTCGAGGGCGCTCGGGGCCGCGCGCCGCCGCTCGAGGGGGCCCCCGCACTCTTCCTCAAGGACTCGGCGCCTCCTCTCCCCCCCTAAAACGACGCGAAGATCGGGACAAAATCGGATCGGGATAACTCGAAATCTCTGAGAATCGGCGGGTTTGGAGGATGTATTGGGCGCCGCGGCCGCTCCAGAGCGTTCCGGAACGCTCTGAGAGCGCTCCGGAACGCTCTGGAGCGATTTATCCCGATCCTAGCCCTGTTTTACTCCCCTGCACTCCGGGCCGCCTCACCTCCCGGGCTCGCCTCCAGACGTGCAGGTGCATGCAGAGGGCCTCCGCCGAGACGCCCGCGGCGGCGGCGAAGCCGCGGTCGAGCCGGTCGGCGGGAGGCGCGTCCGCGGCCAGGGCCTGCGCGGAGCCCAGCACCGAGGAGCCGGCCTCCTGCACAGGGCACGAGCGGAACGGTGTTCCTCCAGTGTCGTGTTGCTTTCGTTGTCACGTCCCCTCGTTCTGTCTTTGGTTCCGCCTTTGTGCTGCAGGGCGGGATCAGAACGAAAAGGGTCCACGGGATCGCCCAAACACCGTTCGCGCTCGGCACGTGCTCTCGCGCGCGTGGGCGCCGAGGGGGATATCCAACATGCGCGCGGCACGCGGCGGGACGTGCACACTGGGAGCCAGTGGTGCGGGGGGGAGGAGGAGGAGGAGGAGGAGGAGGAGGAGGAGGAGGAGGAGGAGGAGGAGGAGGAGGAGGAGGAGGAGGAGGAGGAGGAGGAGGCTCCTTCATGGCGTTGCTCACGCTCATGCCGCCGCACGCCTCGGCGAACTCTTCGGCCGCGCCGAGACCGCCGCCGACGAACTCGGCGGCGAAGCAGCCACAGGCGAGCAGGCAACCCAGCAGTTCCGAGGGCTCCTGCACGCCGCGCAGCGAGGAGGCCAGGTCGCGGTAAAGGTCCTGCTGCTGCTCCTCCTCCTCCTCCTCCTCCTCCTCCTCCTCATGTTCCTGCTCCTGCTCCTGATCCTGCTTCCTCCTCCACTCCTCCTCCTCCTCCTCCTCCTCCTCCTCCTCCTCCTCCTCCTCCTCCTCCTCCTCTGCTTCTTAGTATTATCCTTATGTTTCTACTCATTAGTATGATACTTATTCTTATCAGTAGTATTATTCTTATTAGTCTTAGTATTAGTATGGTTCGTCTTCTTATTATTCTTATTATTAATAGTATGTGTCTTATCCTTTTTATTGTTACTGTTCTTCGCAATAGTATTAGTCAAATTGTCCTTATTAGTATCATTCGTATTCTTATTCTATGATTAGTATTGTTATTTTGCTTCTTCTGACTACGGTTAGCTTATTACTGTTATTTTGTATTATCATTATTTTAAGTCTTCATATTATTCTGATGAGTATTCATATTACTATTATTAATCGTATTACTCTTACTGTTCTTCATATTCTTCTCATTATTATGCTAACTATTCTTCTTATTATTCATATTATTATTATTCCTGCTCCTCCTCCTCCTCCTTTTCCTGCTCCTCTTCCTCCTCTTCCCCCTCCTCCTCCTCCATATCCTCCATAGCTTCTCTTCATGAACAAGTTACGTATCCCTGCCGCACCCCGAGGCCAATCTTCTCCACGGCGAGCCGGGCGTTCCGCCTGAGACTTCTTCATACGTGCGGTTTTGAAGCTTGAAAAATGGCAGCGGTTTCGCTGAAGGAAGGCTGGTCGTTTTCAAAATGTGGTGCTCGCCATAGCGCCGCGCACACTCGTTTTTAACATCTGCAAGAGCTTCACGGATTGAGGGTTGCTGGTTTTCAAAATGTGGTTCTCGCCACAGTCCCGCGCACAACCTTGGAAACAAACATTCCAAGAGCTTCACGGATTGAGGGCTGCTGGTTTTCAAATTGTGGCTCTCGCCACAGCGCCGCGCACACTCGTATTAAAAATGCAAGAGCTTCACGGATTGAGGGCGGGTCGTTTTCGAAATGCGGTTTTCGCCTCAGCCCCGCGCACATTCGTTTCATACATTTGCAAGAGCTTCACGGATTGAGGGCGGGTCGTTTTCGAAATGTGGTTCTCGCCTTAGCGCCGCGCACATTCGTTTTACGAATGTGCACGAAGTTCACGGATTGAGGGCGTATCCTTTTCAAACTATGGCTCTCGCTTCAGCGCCGTGCACATTCGTTTAAACGAATCGCAAGGGATTTAAGGATTCCCATGATCAACGTAGACAAAACGTTGTGTTGGAGGGGTTCAGAATTATGCGGGCGCAACAGTTATGCTGATTCCTTGTGCCGAAGCTCCAGAGATGGCGCCCTGGCACGACAGCCGCAGCTGTCAGGTTGACACGTGGCGTTGAGATCCCGGGAGCAATGTTTTGGCACGCTTCAGGATCTTCAAACGGTTGTCTTCCAGCGAGGCAGTTCCCCCAATGGAAATGAACCGTTGCATGGGGCCTACGAAGAGGGAGCTCGGAGGGAAGGTTCATTCCAACATCGTTGGTGACTCTCGGGATTACACTGGTCCTCCTTTTCCTTCTCCTCCCCCTCCTCCTCGACGCAGCCCAAGGCGACCAGGTTCAATCCAGATCGCCTAACCTTGTGGCCTGCAGTGGGTGGCGCCTGCTGCCACTTCCGCCGCCGCTGCAGGCCGCCTGTGCGATTCGCCTGCAGCGGGCGGCGCCCGCTGCCGCTTCCGCCACCGCTGCAGGCCGCCAACGCCGCCAGGCTGGCCGCTCCAAAGCCGAGCGAGTTCGAGCCGCGCTCAACGTGGCAGCCGACGAGGCAGCGCAAGGCCGAGGCCGAGAGGTCGGCTCGGTCGTCGCTGCGGGCGGGAGCCCGCGAGCGGGCGCGGCCCCGCCTGCCCCGAGAAGGCGGCCAGTGCGCCAGGGCCCCTCGAAGGTGCACCAAGCCTTATTGATCTGATATCGCCCCCGCGCCAGCCCCTTCAACGCCCTGCCACCCCGAGACCTGGGGGCAGGACGACCTGGGCACGGGGCGGAGAGAGCAGGCACGGCGCCGGGGCCACTGGCGCCGCGGGACTGCGCAAGCCGCGCGCGAGACTCCAGTCTCGGCGCCGCGATAAGGATGCATCGCGCGGGGCTGCCCGCCACTGGGCAGAACACGCGCGCGCGCCCCGGGCCCGACCCCAGCGCGCAGCGAGGAGTAGCGGGCGGCGGCGGGGGCATAACGTCTAGCCGCGGAGCCCGAGGCCTCTCTCGCCTCTTGCTCGGGGAGACATGCGGGGCGTCGGTGGCGACCGTCGCTGGGCCAATCCGACCCGACCAGGCATCGTACTCTAGGGGCGCGCTCTCTTTTCTCGAGCTTGCGACGCAGCTCGGGATCTCGACTAGCGTGCGCTGAGGCTTCTTTGGCATGGCAGTCGGCCAAGTCGTTGCCAGCGCGATGATGGATCGACCTGCCTTGCTTGCGCGACGGCGAGCGTGGCGCGGACTCTGGCTTTGACGACGACGATGGAGTCAGGCCCGCCCTAATCAGCAATCTTCTCCCGCACCGCGCCCCACACTTCGGCACCGCGCAGCTGTGCTCGGGCAGCGCCGGCGAGGACCGCGTTCAAAGCCATGCACGACAAAGGCGGGGCCGCAGTAAAACTTAGCCCCAGGCAAAGAGAATCAGAGCTTGCAGCAGTGCCCAGAGCTCAGGCAAGTCAAGGTCAGCAACGAAGTAATCTAGGGGGCCCGCGTAGACTGCCTCCGCTCGGCATGCACGCACGCCCGGCCCAGCCCACGCCGAGCCGCTGGTAGGTGCTCGTCACGCTGGCTGCCATCCCAAAAGACATGGCCTTGCAGATGTCCCGTCTCTCCGAGGACCCAGCAGCCAGGGGGCCGAGGGGCAGCGGGGAGGGGGGCACTCGGCACCAGCAGCCTCTCCGCAAGCAGAGGGGGTCTTCCGTCCTCTTGATGCGCCTGAGCGCAAGCTCGACTGAATGCATCTGCGAAAGGCGGCGGCCCGTGCTCACGCGCCTCGTCGCGATGCGCGCAGCCAATGTGCCGATGCAGAAGCGCGCCGTGACCGCCCATGCACATCTGACACTGCCACTGGTGCGCGAGGCCACAGTCAAACTGCCGCTGCTGTGGCCGCTGGCCACCGCGCACGACACTGCGAACGCGCGCTGCGCCTTGCACCGAGGCGCGCATGCTGCGAATGAACTTGCGCAGTGGCTGCAGCAGAAAACCGCGAGCAAAACTCGGGGCGCCCCGGATGGTCCGCAACCCGTTGACGCAGCCAGAGGCCCACCACCCGATCCATCACCAGCCCCACCGTCCGCAGAGAGAGGTCGAGAGGAGCGCAGAACTTTTTTGGGTGCGACCATTGAAGCCCGTCCACGTGGAGGCCTAGTCTCATGGCTGTGGCCACGCACGCACTGAAAAGGCCCATTGACGCACTGCCTGGGCGACGCATGCTGCCGAAGCGCTGCCGGGCGTCACGGGCCCCCCCACAGAGAACTGCACGCGGCAGCTGGCCACTCCGAGCTGCGGACGCAAGCGCGAGCAGAGGCCCTCTACACAACATATAAGCAGGGTCGGCACGGCGAAAACCAGAGAGAAACAACATGGGCGTGACGGATCGCCCATCGACTCGAGCGAACTCGACATGGGCTTGTTGCAACCTCGCGGCCCTGAGCGCTGCGGCGCTGGTGCCAAACATCTGATGACCATATGTGGCTGCTGACTGAATGATGGCTTGGACCATGCGGTGCAGCTGGCGTTTCTTAAACTGGCGACCTATAGCGAGCAGCTTGCCATGCCACGCACGCGCCGGGGCCGGGCGCTCGCGCCCGGCGCGTCGCGCCTCGCGACGACAACCTGGTGGAAAAAATGCCTAGATTGCGCTCCGCGGCGCCGCCTTGGACTGCGAGCCCGCGCATCTTGTTCAGAAGCGCGTTCCCAAGACCAACGCTGGAGGCAACTAGCTTGCTCTTGGAGCGATTGGCACGAAGAACTACCTTGGCCAGCTCCAAACGCAGTAACTCGGCGGCCGCAGGTAGATGTTCAATGACGTGCTTCCCCCGGCCGTGCGAATGCAAAACGAAATCGACAACCGCGCCCCCGTCGTGCACGGTCGGGTTCACTCTGGTTATAACATCAAGCGGCTGCAGCATGTTAAGATGCAGCATGGCAGCGGCAAGTGACAGCCTGGAATGACGGCCTAGCGCGCGCGCAACGCATCAGACGCTCGGCCACCCAGGTCGAGAACCCGGGGCGCCCTGCAAAGCTCGACGAAAAGGCGAAGTCGACGCAAACGGAGGCACGCGGCGACGGCGGCCGAGAGAGGGCGAGCATGCGAGATCTGCTCGAACGCCCCCCTAACATCAAGAAGGACGAATGCACTCGCAAAGCCTCGGCCGACCACCCACTCGGACATGGCATACTGAATCCGCGCCAATTTGTCCAAGCCCCGTCCAGCCGTCGCCCGCCAGAACGACAGACAGTTCCGCTCCTGCCAATCACGCGCCGAAGACCCACGCAGCCTGCCCTGCGCGCGCGCCACGGAATGCAAGGGCCCTTTCGGGCAAAGGCCCCCTGCGCGCTTAAGGCGGACAACATACTTGCCGTCAAACTCGGGCAAGGAGCATCGGGCCTCAATGGCCACGATGAGGCGAATGAGCACGGAGACGGCCTCGTCGGGGAGATGATCAAACTGCCGAGGGGTCACGCCGTCGAAAGTGCAACCCGAGCGAGCCGAGAACGAATGAAGGACCTCTCTCATCTCCCCGACGGTAGGCCGGGGGAACTGCGGACCAAGGTCTTCTGGCCACTCTAGCTGAGAGTTGCCGCGGCCGGCGTTCCACCACTTGCGCCTTTCCTAAGCCCGCGCGTCAACTTCTCGCTGGGGCGAGGCTGGCGCTGGCACGCGAGCGCCATCAGCATCGAAGCGGGGGGCGGCCTGCCAAGGCGCGCGGGGCCGAGCGCAAGCGACATGGGCAGCGGCACCGCCGCGCGAATTGTCTCGAACCCATTGGCGCAACTGGGCGATTGGCGCGGTGAACACGCCCGCGGCGAGGGCTGCTGCGCCAGCGGTTGAGAGCATGAAACACATGCGCAACGCGTTGCCACCACATGGCGGCAGCGCTCAGGCGAGGGATAGGATGCCGCTGAGGAACACGAATACGCTTGTTCAAATCGACGCGGCTGCGATCCGCCCGTGCAGCTAGCCTCTTGCTTGGACGGTATTAGGTGCATGTCCAGGAACTGCTGCTCCGCGAGATCGATGAAGACGACCCGCCTGGCGCGCGGCGAGTCGGCGCCATTGGGGACAGACTCGGCCAGCTGCGACCATTGCAGCGCCCAGGGCCGCCTCTCACAGCAAGCGGGGCGCTCATCGGGGAATCTCCGCGGGACCTTGACCAGCTGCACAAAAGGATTGTCCGTGGAGGATCGTAGCGCGAGGGCAACTGGCTTGCGCGGCTCAGCGGCGGCCGAGCTGAGCGAACGCCACCGATGGCTCTGCTGTAGAATGTGGCGCACAACAAAATAAATCTAGGACGCGGCCGCCTGACGCACTCGAGCAAGGTGGAAGGTGCTAGGATGGCCGTGCCCAAACTGTCGGCCCACTCTGAGCCGCTGAGAACGTCTGGGGTGACTTCCAATCTCCTTGGATGGCGAAACGCATGCTGAACTGCTTTAACACTTCGCGAATACGACACGGGATGGACAAGTTGGCTGCGGCTAGTCCAACACGGTGCTTGAAATAGAAACCAACCAATTTGTGGCCGCCCAAGCACAACCCTCCACTGTGTAACATCATCACCCAGCTGGGGCAAAATCTGCGGCAACCACTTCGAGCTCGCCCAGACCATGCGCTGAGGTCATGAGCGCTGCGCCTCCTGAGCTGCCCTTAGCCGAGTCCGACAACGCGGCGGGGCCGACACGAGCATGCCATCCTGCCTGTCGGAAGCGATGCTCGAGGTCGCATGTGTGAATATGATGGTGTTCCTGAACAAAGATGCCTCAGGCTCGTCGAGCGGAATCGTCATCGAGATGTGCATCCATCCCGAGGAGCCCCGTAGTATTGGATGAAATGATCGTGTAGCTAATACTGGGGCGTTGCATCGCTGGCCTCGCCTGAGCCGTCGAGCCGTGCCTTCTTGGCCAGGTGCGCCTTGGCGTCAGCCATCACGGCAGCGGCGGCGTCATGCTTGACCCCGTGCATCTGCTCGAGCATCTCCTGGAAAGACTTGTTCCCGAAGGGTCCGTCCAGCTCGACATCCACGTCCTTGGCGGCAGCGGCGGGTTCGGCGACTGCACCGGTGGGTGCGGCTGCGCCCTCCTCTGCCGCGTCTGCTGGTGCCCTCCCAGGAGGAGGCTCGTCAGCAGCAGGGGGGGGAGGGATTCCATAGCCGACATCCCTGGCCATCGCGTCTGGGTGGTGGCGCGTCTGGTTGAAGCGCGCCTTGGCGGCGGTGTCGGCTGGCGCTTCCTTCTCGCGGAACGACTTGGCCCAGGCGTGGGAGGCGGCATCCTCTCCGCATGGCGCAAGGGTCTGGTAGGCGCGAGCAGCTTGAGCGGCGGCCTGCTCGGCTGCCGCGCGCATTTCGACCAGCTCAATGTTGGCTGTGAGGAGAGCTTTGGCCGCCTCAGCCATCGCCCCCATCGCACGGTCATGCTTGGCCTCGGCCCTGTCCAACTTCTGCTGCAACTGGTCCTGCTCGACGCGAGCCCGCTTGGCGCAGGCCTGAGGATCGCCGTCCTTGGCCGCGCGCGCCGCCCTGACCCGCCCCACAACCCGTGGGTTCCAGTCGGCCGAAACGACGTCGAACTGCGCCGCAGACAGGGCGGCGCAGGCTGCAAGCTCATCGTCATTGAGAGATGTGGTCCCTGCAAAGCTGCGCGGAGGCCGTTGACCCCAGCGGCCCCTGGGCGCAGAGACCTCCATGACGACAAGCTTCTTCGGCGTGTAACTGCATATCCTGCATGACGCGCGCCACTCATAGCTGCATCGATATCCACACTGTTTGGTGCGCGGACAAGCCCAACAACCCGTGTCCATCTGGCCGCTGGGGCCTAAAATGTGCAGGTGGTGGGAGCTTACAGTACACGGACTGAACGGAAAGTGGCTGGCACCCCCTATCCCCAGTGCCAAAACTCAAAACCACTGAGCAAAACGCTACGGACTTGTACCAAAACGGCTACGGACCTGTTCCTCCTCCTCCTCCTCATCCTCCTCCTCCTCATCCTCCTCCTCATCCTCCTCCTCCTCCTCCTCCGCCTCCTCCCCCTGGCCCAGAGCCTGCTGCTGCGGGCTCTCTCCTGGCCAAGCAGGGCAGAAGCACGTGCAAGACGATCCTGGGCCCAGGACCGGCCTGATCGGGATGGGTGCAGCAGGAGAAAGAGGAGAAGGAGCAGCAGGAGGAAAAGGAGGAGGAGGAGGAGGAGGAGGAAGAGGAGGAGGAGAGGGGAGGAGGAAGAGGAGGACGGGGAGGAGGAGGAGGAGGAGAAGGAGGAGGAGGAGGAGGAGGAGAAAGAGGAGGACCAGTGGCCCTCCGGGTTCCAGGTCGAAGTCAGCCACGTCGGACAGCCCGCGCACCCTGCGCTTCTCGTCCTGGCCCCCGAGCAGCGCGGGCGCACCGCGCACCCTCGCGCTGGGTGGGCCGAAGGCTCGCGAGAACGCAATCTCGAAAAAGTCGGAGCAGCGCTCCAGGCCATAGCCGCCTATCTTCATATACTCCGTGCACTTTCTCTCGCCGGCTACCTTCGTCCGCAGCGACTCCAGCGCGAAGGGGATCGCGGACCAGAACGTGTCGTCCATGGAGAACTGCAGCTTGGCCGCGAACCGCAGCGCACGGGAAACGCGGAGGGGATCGTCGATCAGGATCTTCGCCCACCACAGCGTCTGGATGGCCCGGTCCTGCGTTCGCTGGCCAACCATGCCGTCTTGCTGGCTTTTGCCCATCGACGCGGCGCAAATCGACGCTAAATCAACGCAACATTTGCGCTACCTCATCGATCACCAGACGCCAGTCGACGCTCACGCACTCCCGAGACGGAATTATTACGAGAGCAGTTAGACGAGGCTCCCATGATTGACTGCCGATCGGTCCTGCGGCAAGTCGTCGAGGCCAAGAGACGTCGCCAACTCCTTGTCCGCGTCGCTCCGGAGCACGAGCGCCTGGACCGCCTCGAGGGTCTTGTCGCGCGGGTAGGGCGCCCGCAGCAGCCCCTTCTGCAGGTCCTCGGCAGGGCGGCGCAGTCTCTACGTGATCCTCCCCCCCTGGCCGGGCCCTGGCCTGGTCCTGGCAGGGGGCACTCCGGGCTGGGCGACCCCCCGGGCGAGGGCGGTGGACATGTGTAGACCCCGCCGCCCGACCTCGAGGCCCCCGTGGTAGTCCAGCAGGTCGAAGCGAAGGTCGCCTGCGCCGACGAGCCTCACCTGCAGCAGCATGGCGCCGATAGTGAGGTCTCGCCGCAGGGTGTCCTGCTCTGGAGTGCCGCGTTCGTCTCGGACGGGTATTCGGCTGTCCCCGTCGTAGCGCTCCTCGCCTATGGTCGGCATGACGTCGACCTCGATCTTCTTGCCGGTCGCTATGGCTAGAGGAACAAATACACAGCATAAGCAGAAACTTTCGGACATCCGCGCGGATTTCTTGGATCGGCTATGTGCCTCCCCCCTCGGCGCGGAGCGCGCCAGGGGCGGCGCCGGAGGCCCCGCCAGGGGGCACCAGGGCAGATTCTCGAAATCTGCACGGAACTTCGACAGCTGACGCGTATGCCGCTGTTTCTTCTTCGCATTGTGAAGTGGGCCTTGAACGTGTCCAGGTTCTTGTTCTTGCTCTCGTCAGAGAGGCACGTGGCGAGCTTGACCTGCACGACGCCCAGGTCCGCCCGGTCGGCCGCGTATCCCGGGACCTTGTCCAGAAGCGTCCCGACGTTCACCTCCTCTGGGCAGCCCCGCAGGCAGAGCGACAAGTCAAGGTCGTCCGGACACTTGCCGAGCAGCAGGTCCCTGATGTAGCCGCCGTTGATGAACACCGCGACGCTCTCCAGACCCTCGTCACGAAGGAAGGAGAGCAGGAAGCTCAGGACCTGCTTGTCCTCTGCAGGTATCCTCCGCGTGTGCTCCTCTGCGCAGAAGGCACATCTACACGACCACGGTGCCTGGCCAGGATCGTCCTGAGCCATCCTGAACCCTGGAACGGTGTACACGCCACCCGGGCCGAGGCCAGGAGGGCTCGACTGCACACCACCGCAGGGCCCAGGATGGCCCTGCCTGGCCAGGGAGGCTGGTGGCGCACAAATGCCTCCTGCGGATCCTCCGCCAGCACGTCTCCGTGCCGCACCTCTGGGGGCCCCAAAACGGTGCACACGGCGACCTCGGAATCCCCAACCGACCTCGCCGCAGGGTCCGTCACCGCACCGTTCTGGGACCCTGGAAGCCCCGATGGCCAGAGACATCCTCCTCCTCCTCCTCCTCCTCCTCCTCCTCCTCCTCCTCCTCCTCCTCCTCCTCCTCCTCCTCCTCCTCCTCCTCCTCCTCCTCCTCCCCCCCCTCCTCCTCCACCCCCTCCTCCTCCTCCTCCTCCTCCTCCTCCTCCTCCTCCTCCTCCTCCTCGAGGAGAACGGCCCGAGTCCCAGAGCCGTGCGGTCACCCCAAGCTCCCCACTGACCCACCACACGGCGTGGCCTCGCCGCAGCATGTGGCGGCACCACCCTCTGGGGGAGCCCACAAAGACACCAATCTCGCTACTCTTGGGACGGGCATGTCGCCCTAGAGACGGATTTTGGGCGCACAGCTATGAATACGCAAAACATGCCCAAACATATCCAAACCATGTTCAAAAACTCGTCCCCATGTTTTTGTTGCTCTATGTTTGACTGCTCCTCCTGTAGAGGGACAAGCCCGACTTAACGTTGCTCCTCGGACCTCACCCGAAGCGCGCTCGGACCAGAACCTCGGGGCGGCTCCGACACCTCCGGGCGGGCGGGGCCTCCCATACGAGGCCCAGCATGCAGAGGCATCCATCTGACAGGGACACACACAAATAGATACACACAACCCCCACGATCCCCCACATGTTCACAACAAGTAAAAAACATATTTATTTGATTCTCGTATTCCCCCCCGCCACTTCCCATAGTTGTCCACATCTTCAGGGGAATCGGCGAGTTCTTTCTCCTCCTGAAGCTGCACAGACGGAAACGTTCGGAGGCCCGCGCGGCGGTCGCCTCTGCGACGAGCCCCCCCCCCTCCCTGGGCGCGCGGAGCGCGCCGGGGCCAGCGTGAGGCGGGGCGTGTCCCCCTACAGGCGGATTTGGGTGGAAAAATAAAACATGTTCCACAAATATTCAAACATCGTCCTAAAAGAATCAAACAGCGTGCCCCCAAGAGCCCCCCCAAGAGGCCCCAGGGGAGCCCCAGACGCCGCCAAGGAGCCCCAAGACGCTCCCAAGAGGCCCCCAAGAGGCCCCCAAGACGGCCCCAGGAGGCCCAAAATAGCGCTCCAGGGACGGCGGAATGAGCGAAGCGATTGAACAAAACATGTTCCACAAATATTCAAAAAATCATACTAAAAGAACCAAACATCGTGCCCTGACCACTGATTTACCATGCTTGAGTATTCCTCCTCTGGAGGGACAGGGCCGACATTGAACCCCAGGGACGGCGCCGGGCGCGCCGCCAGGGGAGGGCCCAGAGCCGACCCGAGAAAAAACGCGCTCCGAGTTCCCCGAGCATTGATGCGTGCGTAGTTGATTCTCTCCTTCGGTGAAAGCCGAAGCCTCGACTGTGCACAAGGTCTGACCTTGGGTGCGAGTGACCTTTGGAATAGGTGGGGCGTGTCCCCCTACAGGCGGATTTGGGACGACACAAAAAAACATACTCCACAAATATTCGGAAATTGCCCAGATAGTCGGAACATCGTCCCCTGACTATTTTGAGACTACTTTTGAACATTCCTCCTGTAAAGGGACATGCCCGACTTAACCTTTGGTGCGCGGTTCTTTGGGGGCCGCGGGGGGACCAGACACAAGCGCGCAAGACACAACTGTCGCATCGCGTTCGGCGATCGGGTGACTCCGGCGAAGGGTCACTCTTTACGCGAAGTCGACGAGCCAAGGGCATAGCGGTATCAGTACCGTTCCATTTTGCCTCCACCGGGGGGGATGGCCCTGGATGTTGGTCCGAATATTACTTACCACCATCACCTAGATCAGGGTCGTCTTCCCTCGGCAGAAACAACCGCCGGTACTGTTGGTGGTGCCAACGTCTAGGCCTCAGGGTATCGGCACCTGTTGCTCCACAACCGACTGCCGGGGCGCGTCCTGACCAGGATCTCGAAGCGAATCCAGCCATGGCGACGAGGGCCTCCCAGGAGGCCCCAAAAGGCGAGCACGGGCCAAGGGTGCCTCGTTCTCAGACGTCCGATGGGTGGTTTTTGTTACTACTTACCAGCCTCGAACTGATCCCTATCCCTAAGATTGACACGCCAAAAGGCGATGACAATCTTAGGGATTCGCCCTGAAAAAATAAGGGAATTCCTGAGATTGGCATCGTGATGAGGAGATGCCCAGCATAGGGATAGGGATATTTTCCAGGCTGGTAAACTACGGGATCTCCGGCAATCCCGACCCCTGCCCCCGGCCGGTGCTTCATCCCGAGTGGTTCTTCGGTGGTCCCGGGACCTGGCGAGGGCCCGTGGAGGCCGAAAGCGGACAAGAGCCTCCCAGCGTGATCGTTCCACGACGCGAGCACTTCTGGGTGATGGTGGGCCTCCGACGAGCCTGCCTGGCTCGCCCGCAGTGGGTGCGGAAAAAGTGGGCACGAGGCCCAACAGCAAATGTTGTCCAAAATCAGCTGCGGCCGCTGTTCGGCAGCCGCGCGTCTGCCTCGAAAGCACCGCGCCCGCGGCGACGCACACAGCGAGCCCTGTTGAAAATGGATGGGTACCAGCGGCCGGCAGTGCAGAGAGGTTGCATCCATGCCAAATCCACAGGCCACAGCGTGAGTGGGTAGCGATTGCGAAAGCGTGCTGTCACCACGGCGGTCCTGTTTTCCCATGCTATTGTTAGGGAGCAGAAAATGCACCCTCATAAGAATCACCCCGACACGCGAAGCCGATCAGTAAATGCGCCCAAACGAGGCATCGAAGAGGGCGAGGCTGCTTCCTAGACGCCCAAGACCGTTTCGTAGACGCCGGTTCTCGGGCCTGGGTGGCTCCTCCTGCCTTGCACTGTGCCGCTCGGCGCCCGCAGCCTCATTCCCAACCTCCGACGTCATGATTTTTCCATGACGCGACCCCCAGAGGTCCGGCCGGACACACTCCCCGGGACCGGTTCTTCTTCCTGAGTCGTTTCTTGACGGTCCTATGAGGGCCGGCAAGGGCCCCCGGAGGCCGAAAATAGCGAAACGCCTCCCGTCGTGATCTTTCCAGGACTCGAGGGGCTCTGGGTTGCTTGCCTCGGCCCTCCAGACCTGCGACGCCCCCGCCGCCGCCGGCGCCGGCGCGCACGGCGCCGCAGCCGCCGCCGCCGCCGCGCCCGCCGCGGGCGCCGAGGCGGCGGCCGCAGGGGCGGCGGCTGGGGCCGGCGGCGGCCGCGCCGGGGCTGCGGCGGCGCACGGCGCCTCGCGGCCGGCGAAGGGCATGAGGCTCGGGGGGCGCCAGCAACCCTTCGGGGGCAGCTGCTGTTATGTCGGGCGTGTCCCCCTACAGGGGGATTTTCGACGAAAAATAAAAATATTCAGATTATCCCGGCAAAGCAACCTAACAGCGATGTGTAGGAGCATATCTGGAAGCATTCCCCTTAAGATTCAGATGAGAATCCAGTTGTAGAATTGTGCTGTTCTCGCAGTCGTAGTCGCATTCGCGATGACAGTCGCAGTGGCAACGGCAGTCACAGACACAGCCTCAGCCTCAGCCTGCCTCAGCCTCAGCCTCAGCCTGCCTCAGCCTCAGCCTGCCTCAGCCTCAGCCTCAGCCTGCTTCAGCCTCAGCCTCAGTCTGCCTTCAGCCTCGGCCTCAGCCTCAGCCTGCCTCAGCCTCAGCCTGCATCAGCCTCAGCCTCAGCCTCAGCCCTCAGCATTAGCCTGCCTCAGCCTCAGCCTCAGCCTGCCTCAGCATTCAAAATGTGGCCCGGAATGGAGTTCTGGGAACTCGAAGAACACGAAGTGGCCTACAGTTGGCTCCGGGCATTCAAAATGTGCCCGGGAATGGAGTTCTGGGAACTCGAAGACCACGAAGTGGCCTACAGTTGGCTCCGGGCATTCAAAATGTGGCCCGGGAATGGAGTTCTGGGAACTCGAAGACCACGAAGTGGCCTACAGTTGGCTCCGGGCATTCAAAATGTGGCCCGGGAATGGAGTTCTGGGAACTCGAAGACCACGAAGTGGCCTACAGTTGGCTCCGGGCATTCAAAATGTGGCCCGGGAATGGAGTTCTGGGAACTCGAAGAGCACGAAGTGGCCTACAGTTGGCTCCGGGCATTCAAAATGTGGCCCGGGAATGGAGTTCTGGGAGAAGTGGCCTACGGTTGGCTCCGGGCAAGAATGTGGCCCGGGAATGGAGTTCTGGGAGGTCGAGAGCACGAAGTGTGTGACCGTTGGCTTAAAACGACTTCTGCGGCACCCTGTCCGGCACCCGCCCAGACCCCCCTGTGGAGTCATCTGCTGCTCTCTTTTGACCCTACTAGAAACCTATCAGCAAGAGCTGTTAAGTAAAATTATCCCGGCAAAGCAACCTAACAGCGATGTGTAGAAGCATATCTGAAAGCATTCCCCTTAAGATTCAGATGATCAGATGAAAATCCAGTTGTAGAATTCTGCTGTTCTCGCAGTCGTAGTCGCATTCGCGATGACAGTCGCGCAGCGGCAACGGCAGTCGCAGTCACAGCCTCAACCTCAGCCTGCCTCAGCCTCAGCCTCAGCCTGCCTCAGCCTCAGCCTGCCTCAGCCTCAGCCTCAGCCTGCTTCAGCCTCAGCCTCAGTCTGCCTTCAGCCTCGGCCTCAGCCTCAGCCTGCCTCAGCCTCAGCCTGCATCAGCCTCAGCCTCAGCCTCAGCCTGCCTCAGCATCAGCCTGCTTCAGCCTCAGCCTCAGCCTGCCTCAGCCTCGCCTCAGTCTGCTTCAGCCTCAGCCTCAGTCTGCCTTCAGCCTCGGCCTCAGCCTCAGCCTGCCTCAGCCCCAGCCTGCCTCGACCGCAGCATCAGCCTGCCTCAGCATTCAAAATGTGGCCCAGGAAAGGGAGTTCTGGGAAGTCGAAGAGCACGAAGTTGCCTACAGTTGGCTACGGGCATTCAAAATGTGGCCCGGGAATGGAGTTCTGGGAACTCGAAGACCACGAAGTGGCCTACAGTTGGCTCCGGGCATTCAAAATCATGCCCAGGAATGGAGTTCTGGGAACTCGAAGAGCACGAAGTGGCCTACAGTTGGCTCCGGGCATTCAAAATGTGGCCCGGGAATGGAGTTCTGGGGGCTCGAAGACCACGAAGTGGCCTACAGTTGGCTCCGGGCATTCAAAATGTGGCCCGGGAATGGATTCTGGGAAGTCGAAGAGCACGAAGTGGCCTACAGTTGGCTCCGGGCATTCAGAATGTGGCCCGGGAATGGAGTTCTGGGAGGTCGAAGAGCACGAAGTGTGTGACTGTTGGCTTAAAACGACTTCTGCGGCACCCTGTCCGGCACCCGCCCAGACCCCCCTGTGGAGTCATCTGCTGCTCTCTTTTTAGCCCATTAGAAACCTATCAGTCTTCGCTGTTAGGTAAATATTCCAAAAAGATCAAAAAATGTCCCCAGACTATTCTTGGACTATGTTTGTACTTTTGTTTGGTGTTTTTTTAAATTTTGTGGAAAATCCCCCTGTAGGGGGAAAGGCCAGACTTAAAGCTACTGGGAGGTCTTCGTCGGAAGGATTATGAGGAAAACTTGACACCCTTTGGGGGGCAGCTGCGCCGGGTCAGGCCGCGGATGGAGCGGGGCTGAGCCGGCGGATAAGCGGGACCAAGCCGGACTGAGCGGGATCAGGGCAGAGTCAGAGTTTCACCTCCCCGGAGTTGCATCGGAGCAACCCTGAGATCCGGGCGTCTCAATTCCCAACCATCCTGCGGTTCAACACACGGCTCGTGGCCCCATACGGAGCTCCCTCCGAAGGCTCCAACGGCAGGTACCGCACGGCGCCACCGCACACACTGCGGCACACCCCGCACACGCTCCGTGGCCCCACAGGGAGCTCCTCCGAGGGCCCCCGTGGCAGGGTCCGCATGACGCCACCGCACCCATTGTGGCACACACACACACCCCTCACACGTTTCGTGGCCCCGATATCAGACACCCCCTTGACCGACGGAAAATCTAAACCGACGGAAACGAAAAACCGACGGACACTCTGCCAGCACCCCAAGAAACAGATGCCTGCGGCGCCGCCGGCGCCGCAGACGAGAGGAACTGCTGCCTCTCACCTGGCCCCGACAAGCCTGAGATCTTGGCACCTCGTTTTTGTTCGAGAGCCAGACGTGGTCGCCCAACTCCAGGCTCCAGGATTGGGTCGGGCATGTCCCCCTACAGGCAGATTTTAGAAATAACCTAACAAGTACCCCAAAATGCACAAACATGCTCAACATCTACTCAAGAAATCGTCCCCTGACTCTCTGTTGACCATGTCTGAAAATCCTTCCTGTGGGAAGACACGCCCGACTTGGCTCCAGGACCCTCATCCGGCTCGAGGGATGCAGGAGGTGCGCGTCGGGGATCTTCTGACCCGGGTCAATCCAGACCCGGGTCAGCAGGAAACCAAAAACTGCAATGCAAGAACAACAAAAAAACTGCAACGCAAGTCTTCGTAAACCCGGGCCAGCCAAGAATACGCGCGGCCGCCTCGCGGCCACGAGCGGCTCGCTGACCCGGGTCAGCCAGACGGGGTCTTCGCAGGATCCTGCTGCAGGAGCCGGTGCCCTGGCTGACCCCCGTCTGCACTGACCCCCGTCTCGAGGCTCCCGAGCGCGTACCTGCCCCCCTCGCCCGGGCCAGGGTGGGCGCACACACGCCGGCCCCTTTGGACCCCCGGGGATGGGGCGCCCGCCCGAGCTCCGCATGCGCGGGCAGGCGCGCGCGGAGATGGCCGGCGTCTCTCGCGGTGGTGGCGCACGGCAGGCTCGCGTCGTGCCGACCTCGGCGCCGGCCTCTGACGCCGCGGCAGGGGGCCACATGGCCACAGGCGAGCCCTCCCCCCTGCCCCCCAGGACTTCTGAGGGGGAGAGTGGGGTTCCCTGCGCCCGGGAGCTCCCGAACGAAGTGAGCCCCACCCTCCCCCTCAGAAATCCCGGGGGGGGGAGGGGTAGGGTTCGCATGTGGCCCCCTGCCGCGGGAATCGTTCAACCTTGAACAATCGGCCGTTTCCGAAACGTCCAAATCGTTTCACATCGAACGATTCTGGGTCGCCCGCGGCGTTCAAAATGGGACGCCGCTGGCGGGGTAACCGCCGGTCGACACGACACGAAGCTGCCGTACGGGTCCCCGGAAATCCCGACCCTTTCCCCAGTCGGGAAGACGTAAGACTCAGGTACGGGAGGCTCGGGGTTGGCCTGATGGGGCCAGCATAAAAATGACGAAACTCAATCAATCTGAAATCTGACGCAAACTCCCACTGCAAGCATCCCGCGAATCAAAAAGCGTCGGCAAACCCGAGCTCTGGCTTACACGAGTCTTGCGTTTCCCAGACCCAGAGCGGGTCTCTCGCTCCACGTTAAAACAGGGCTAGGATCGGGATAAATCGCTCCAGAGCGTTCCAGAGCGCTCTCAGAGCGTTCCGGAACGCTCTGGAGCGGCCGCGGCGCCCAATACATCCTCCAAACCCGCCGATTCTCATAGATTTCGAGTTATCCCGATCCGATTTTGTCCGGATCTTCGCGTCGTTTTACAGGTCGTTAGTCAACAGTCCTGGGACCCGGCGGGGGCCCCCCGAGGGGCCGAAAGCGGTCAAGGACCCGCCGTCGTTTTTTCACGCGGCGCGGACGGACATGTCTGGGCACACCGATCCGGGGCTCCTCCAGATGGGCCCGGCCAGGGTCGGTGCAGAGGAGGAGGGAGGAGGAGGAGGAGGAGGAGGAGGAGGAGGAGGAGGAGGAGGTGGAGGAGGAGGAGGAGGGAGGAGGAGGAGGGAGGAGGAGGAGGAGGAGGAGGAGGAGGAAGAGGTGTACATTACCAGCCTGGAACATATCCCTACCCCTATGCTGGGCACCTCCTCGTCACGATGCCAATCTTGGGGATTCCCTTATTTTGTTGAGGGCGGATCCCTAAGATTGTCCGCGCCTTTTGGCGTGCCAATCTTAGGGATAGGGATACCTTCGAGGCTGGCAAGCACAGTCACGACGCTGAGATAGCGGAGGACCACTTCGGGCCCAGCAGGGGCTCTGGTTGCCGGGCCGCTCCGCAGAGCTCGGTCCGGGGGCCCCGTATGGCAGCCGAGGCTCGCCCTGGTCCGAAAGGCCCCCCTTCGCTCCCCACAGTCAGTCGGTGCTCCTTCTGGCAGCACGGTGGCTGCACAGTCGGGGCGTTGACCTGAGGAACCCTAAATCAGGAACGAGGCCCCTTTTTTTCATCAGTGAAGGTTCGATTTCCCATCGAAAACCTGAGGAAAACCTAGGGCGAGCTGTGAAACAATCAAGGAACACGTAGCCCCTCCCCAGCGAAAAGGGTTCCTTCTTCAGCGCCCCGACTGTATGGCTGGCGCCCTCCGAGATGCCGATCTCCCGCAGGTGCGCGAGGTTCATCGCCCGCGCGGCCGGCGCCGCGCCCGTGACAGCGCGGCCGCGCGCCGCTGGGAGCGGGCGGCGGGGCAAAACTGCTGCGGAGGGGGGCCCCGGACGTCCGCCGATGCCCGCCGCGGCGCTTGGAATCGGGTTGGTATGCGTCGGGCCCTCTTCTTCGCCTCCTGCGCAGCAGCGATCAGTGACGGCCCCACGACGAATCCAGCCCGCGACGCGCTCACATGCGCATCACCGCTCTCATACATACTTCTCTCCTCGTTCTCCGTCCAGAAAGCGGTTTCAGATACAGAGCTTGGGGAGGGGGGGGGTCCATGACCCCTTCCCCCTCCCCCCCCAATGCGCCACCCCCCTCCCGCCCCCCCTCTCTCTCGCCCGCCCGAGCGCGGTGGCGGAATCGCGCGGCAGCGAAGCCCGAAAATCGTTATCAGCCCGCGGCCCCGTTGTCCCAACCTCTTCCCCCTGAGGCCAGTCGTTCGACCCGGATCCGTGTCTGATGGCCCTGGGGCTCGATAGCGGGCCCCATGAGGCCGAGATCAAGGAACACTGGAAGGATTGGAACAGACAGAGATCGTCGGAAATCTGGGAAGGAGGGAAGCGGGAAGATGGACGGCTGAAGCTGGGGAAACCAAAAGGTACCGATGCCGCTACTCCCCAGACCTCTCCCAGGGCCCGCTCTGACCAAGTTCTCGAGGCGACTCCGGCGGAGGCGACGAGGGCCTCCCAGGAGGCTAAAAAAAACAACACGAGGGACGGGTAGCGGCATGGGCACCTTTACCTCCTCCGAGGGGGGGGCAATGGACAGCCGATTGAGCAGGGTCCGCCCGTCCCGGCATTCCCATAGTCCTTCCACGAAATGTTCTTAGAACCCAAACATGTTCTAAGGACAAATACAATGGTCTTAGAACATAAACCCGATGGGAGAAAACAAAACACTCCCGGCCAGAAATGTCCTAAGAACATTTCGTGCACACCACAAAAGGTTCCTAGAACTTTCTTTGGTGGTGCTAACTAGGCTTCGCCACTGCTTGAGCCGAAGCGTGGCCGGAGGGGGGCCCTTCTTTCCCCCGAAGTCCCTGCCGCACGGCGCGCTCCCTCGCCGGCCGCCTTCGGGTCGGAGCCGGCTGCCCCCCCCCGGCCGCGGGCAGCCGCTGGACCCATGCAATCGGGGCGCTGACCTAAGGAACGATAAATTATTCACTGCGTGGAGCTCCCCATGTGTGCATCTACTCGCATGGACCTGTCCGCCGCGAACGTCTAGGCGCAAGAGCTTTCGAATATTAACGGGCTTCAGTTGTGACGGTCTGGATTTCAATCTAACTGCGAATGAATTGGAGTGTGAATGAGCCTCAGTAGTACGAGCGCGTCTCTGTGCATGAGCCTGGGGCCTCCTGGGGCCTCCTGAAACCTACTGGGGCTTCCTGGGGTCTCCAGGAGCCTCTTGGGACCTCCTGGGACCTCCTAGGAAGGTTTCGTGCCCCAGGAGAGGCGCAATCTATAGCAACAGACGTACATAAAACATTGCGGATTAGAGCCACTTTAAAAAAAATGACAAGGCAGCCCGTGCAGCACGAACCGATCCTGCCGCCAAGAAGGCGAGAGCCGCAAAATGCGGCCAGGAGGCACCGCAAACAGCGGCCTCCAAGAAGCAGCGCGCTCGCCACGCCGCGTGGGTGTGCGCCGTCAGGTGAGGCGGCCACGCGAGCCACCATCCACCCCGCGCCGAGCCTGAAAAGGCCCAGACCACCGAAGGCACTCCCCATCTGGGCCTAGGCGGGGTGCCAGCGGACGGCCTCCAGCATGCGCCGAAGGTCGTCGCTCGCCTCGGGGCGCCAATCGGCCGCCCTCCGCAGGACGCCGTCCGCCGCGGCGAACGCGTCCTCGAGGGCAGCCGCCGCCCCCGTCGCCGCGCCCGAGGCAGCAGCTCCGCCGCCAGGCTCCGCCGCCGCCACCGTCGCGTCCGCCTGCCCCTTCGCCCCCGGGTCCCTCGCGAGTGCCAGCCCCGTGCCCGCGGCCGCGCCGGCCGCGCCAGCGCCCTCCGCGTCCACGACCCACCGGCCCTCGCGCCCAGGGGCGGGTTCGGGCCTCCGCCTGCGCCTCCGCGGCCAGGCAGGGGCGGCAGCTCCTCCCACTCCAGCGGGATCCGCCGCCGCCGCACCCGAGGCGGCCCGACGAACGTCGTCCGCCCACTCGTCCTCGAGGACGTCCATGTCGTCGTCGGCGGAGGCCGCCGCTGCAGCCGCAGCAGCAGCAGCACCAGCGGCAGCTCCAGCGACCACCCCAGCGGGCACCTCCTCCACGACCATGTTGTTCTCCTCCTGGGCGGCCGCGCGCCGCGCAGCACGGCGCTGGCGGCGGCGGCGGCGCTTCGCGGCTCGCGCCGCAGGGTCAGCCCCAGCAGCACCAGCTCGGTCAGGAGGATCAGGGCGAGCAGCACCAGCAGCAGCAGCGGGCGGCGGCGGCACGGCGCCCACGGCCCCGCGGCCCACCCCGAAAAGGGTGGCCGACACAGCCGACCGCGCCACAGCCGCGACCGTGCGCCGCGGCGCACTCGCAGAGACGGCCCCGCGGACCGCCGCCTCAACCAGGAGGGCGGCGTCGCGGGCCGACCAAGCCCCTCTGGGCGTCGCCATCCGCGCCACGGGCGAAGGGCCGCGCCGATAGGCTTTCGCCAGAGGCGGACCCTTGAGCCAGGACACGGGGCGACGACCGAGCGAACGCTTGAGCCAAAATGGCTTGAGCCAAAATGGCTTGAGCCAAAATGGCTTGAGCCAAAATGGCTACGGAGGGATTAGAGCCACAGGAGAAGGGCAATTTATAGGAACACGCGTAAAACACCAAGGACTCGTGCCCCAGGAGAGGCCCAATACATAGGAACATGAGTAAAACATTTAGGATTGTGTACACAGGAGAAGGACCATCTATAGAAACATACGTAGAACATCAAAGAATCGTGCTCCAGGTGAGGCCCAATCGATAGGAGCATACGTAAAACACATGGGATTGGAGCCACTCCTGTTGCCTTCTGAGGCCTCCTGCTCCTGGGGCCTCTCGGGGCCTCCTGTTGCCTTCCGAGGCCTCCTGGCGCTTCCTGTTGCCTCCTGGGGCCTCCTGTGGTTTCCTGAGGCCTTCTGGAGCTTCCTGGGGCCTCCTGGAGCCTCTTGGGACATCCTGTGGCCTCTTGAGTCTTTCTGTGGCCTCCTGATGCCTCCTGGGACCTCATGTGGTCTCCTGGGGCCTCCTGGAGCCTGTTGGAGCCTCCTGTGGCATCCTGAGAAGAATCTGCGCCCACGAGCCTGGCCACCAAAACAAGCAAACCGATCGAGACATCCTCAAAATCTGGCCCACCTGGGGGTGAAAATGAGCGCCTCGCTCGAGACATCCTCCAAATCTGCTCCGAAAGCGAAGGATGTTGGGCCCAGAAACAAGCAAACCGCCTGAGACATCCCCACAAAATGGCCGCGAACGAGCCCGTGCAACCACCCCTGGCGGCTCCCCTTAGGGGTGCTGAAACCAGCGCCCCGCCTGAGACATCCTCCAAATCTGCTCTCCAAGCGAAGGATGTTGGGCCCAGAAACAAGCAAACCGCCTGAGACATCCCCACAAAATGGCCGCGAACGAGCCCGTGCAACCACCCCTGGCGGCTCCCCTTAGGGGTGCTGAAACCAGCGCCCCGCCTGAGACATCCTCACAATCTGCTCTCGAAAGCGAAGGATGTTGGGCCCAGAAACAAGCAAACCGCCTGAGACATCCCCACAAAATGGCCGCGAACGAGCCCGTGCAACCACCCCTGGCGGCTCCCCTTAGGGGTGCTGAGTATGAGTAAGTCTGTGTATGAGTAAGTCTGTGTATGAGTAAGTCTGGGTATGAGTAGGTCTGTGTATGAGAAAGTCTGTGTATGTGTACGTCTGGGTATGAGTAAGTCTGAGTATGACTAATACTTTGTATGAGTAAGTCTGGGTATGAGTGAGTCTGTGTATGAGTACGTCTGGGTGTGAGTAGTATGAGTAAGTCTGTGCATGAGCAAGTGGGAGTATGAGTAAGTCCGACAGGAGGGGAGGAGAAACGAGGAGGAGGAAGCAGGAGGAGTAGGAGGCGTCCAAGTAATAACAAGAACCCCATCGTAGGATATGGGTAATAATAAGGAACGAGGCCCCTTTTTCCCATAAGTGAACCTCCGACTTCCCATGGAAAACACCAGGAAAACCCTAGGAACACCGCAAAACAACTAAGGAACGCGCCGCCCCTCCCAACGAAAAAAAGGGTTCCTTCTTCAGCGGCCCGACTGTGTGGGCGCAAGGGCGAGGAGATCGGCGAGCCGTCGCGCTCGCTGCACAGTGCTGGGCCAGATACTCGGGCAAGTCCGGCGACCCCGAACCCAAAAAATTGTTTTCAGCTCCTGGGGGCACATCTTTTTCACTTCCGCCGCCTTCCGCCGAGCTACCTTTCACGGCACTGCGCCCAAGCTCGCTCAATCGGACGCTTCGTGAGGGGCCATATAAAACCTACCGAAACCGGCGCATCTAAAATCCTGTATTTTAGACGATGGGCCCAGGACAGGAACGCGCGAGAAGATCGGGGAGCCAGGGCCCCGCACCCACGCGCCCCCGCCGAGTTACCGCTGGCTTCCGCCGGCGGAGGCGGCCTCCTTTCACTTCCGCCGACCTTCCGCCGCCCTTCCGTCGCCTTCCGCCGCGGAAGACATGACAACTCCTTCTACCCTCGAAAGCGAAACCCTGTTTGGAACGCCCTATGTGAACCGGGAAACACACGACACCACCCCACCTACGGCCCCATGGGTCTGAGCATATGCCATGAATGCCGGCTCGGGCTTTTGCATGGTGTGCGCTGCGGCCCCCGATGGGCCGTGGCGCATCGTCTGAGGGCCGATATTTTGGGCTTGGGGTGGGGTCTTGTGCTTCTGGGGCCGATATTTTAGCGGCGCGCCGGGGGGGGGGAGCGAGAAGAAGCAAGCCCTCTCAGAAGGCGGCGGGGCCTCTCAGAAGCCCTCGGGCCTGCAGGAAAGTGCCCCGCGTGTTCGGCGGGGGCATCGAAGACTTCTCAGAAGGCCGGGGGGGCTTCCCGAGCCAGCTGAGAGAGGGCCCGCCCTCTCGCTTTCCCCCCCCCCCCTCCCCGGGCTGGCTGCGGAGTGGTGCAGAGGCCCTCCAAACTCGTTCCTGGCAGCTGGGGTCGCAGGATCGCGCCGCATCGCCGATGCATCGGCGACGTCGGCGC